TTAAATATGACTAGAAGAAGTATTATGTGCATTTTGTTTCTGTTTTGAAACACATTTAAATGACTTATTAAATTTGTAAGCACTATAATTAGCTTTTTTTAATTGAAGAAAACAGATCAAGAGTGATGTTGAGAAGAAGTGGAAATTATAGTCTGTAAGTAACGATAATTAAAACTGCTTTAATGTTAAATTTGTGAAGAAAATACTGACCATATTAAAGAATAGAGTCTGACTATGGATATCAAGTTCTTTCTTTCCAAGGTGTCCCTCAGTTCTTCGATAAGCTGTCTCTTTCTCTTGCTCTGTTGAAAATGTAGAAACAAATGTAATCATATTTGGACAATTACGTATGGTAATTTTTATGACCGATTGGAACTTGAGTGCAGAACTTCCAGCATAGAAACTTGACAACTTGTCACAATACCATAGCGAAATAGAGTTTAGCTGTGGGAATATCAACTCTGTGTTCACTACCTCCTCAACTCCTTTTACCATAATCACTTGTTTCAAATCTCGACAGAATGATACACACAAGTCCTCGAGGTGCCCAAGGCCTAATACCATGGAAGGGGTAAAAAGGTATTCTAAGCTGTTACAATTAGAAATTCGTAGTCTTTTAAGCTTTTTGAAATTCAAGATTTCTTGAGAAGTCACAGTGTAGGAAGATGTTATCCACAACTGATTTATTTTAATCTCAGACAACTTCAATTCCACCAAATTTGAAAACACAACCTGCAAAACATGCAATTCTTTTACTAAGAAAAGCTTATCATTCAATTTTTTGATATATAAGACAACAAAAAGGAGAAAACGATGAAGTTGATAGTATTGAGGATATGCAGTCAAGGAAGGAAGGCTTTTTGAATTTAAACGAAACGGCTGAAAATGATGGTAACAGTGGTTTCAATTTGGAGTGCAGGGCAATTTCTCGGGTTGATGACGAACATGGATTATTTATGGATTGTGGGCCGGTAGTGGATAAGTGTGATGGGCTGAAGGAGTATGATGGGCTGGTAGCCAACCCAAGTGGGATGGTGGGGAGCAGTAAAGAAAATAGGCCCGATGATGATAATGTGGGATAGCTAGCATCTGTCCGGGAGATTGATAGAAGGGATTTGATGGGTAAAAGGCACAGGAAAATAGAAGAGTGTTACCCAAAGGAGCTAGCAGAAATCTGGGCGGAGCGGGGGCAGTTGGTGACAGCTAGAACAAAGCTACGGCAAGGGAGAAGAGAGATGGCTCGAAAGGCTGCAACGGAAACAGTGAAGCGGGTTGGCAGCATGTCTCTTTCTGATGGATGTATTATGCACAAAAACCAGGTAATTCAAAGAGAACTTAATTTGCATGAGGTGAGGAAGATGATGAGAGTGGGGAAAAGGTTGGGTATTGAAATGCAAGGCAATGAAGAGGAGGTTGAGTCTAGGTTGTTAGAGTTAGAAGATAGGGATGAGGAGAGGGGGCGGAATCTAAAACGAAATTAAGGGTGTTCGGGTGATTGGGGATGTGGGTTTCTTATTAGAATGAAGCTTTTATCTTTTAATGTCAGGGGTTTGGGGGGACCATTGAAGAAGAAAGAAGTGGGGAAACTGGTAAAAGTGGAAAAACCAGATTTCTTATTCTTGTAGGAGACCAAATTAGAGGAGATTGATGGTAATTTATGTAGAAGATTGTCGAATTCAGATGGCTTCGATTGGGTTATGAAGGGGTCAACGGGAGCATCGGGAGGTCTGTTGTGTGTTTGGGACAAGTTGAATTTTGTGAAGAGGGAAGTTTTTACGGGTGACGGTTTCTTCGGTGTTTCAGGGGAATGGGGTACAAAGAAGTTGCAATGTTATTTTGTGAATGTGTATGCTCCAAATGATAGAATGATAGAAGGAAGAAGTTTGAGTTGTGGGAGGAGTTGCGGACACTAATTCTAGAGAAGGGAGGACGAGGGTTGATTGCAGGTGATTTCAATGCCGTAAGATGTCTTGAAGAAAAGAGGGGAAGAATAGGGGAGAATCCAGAGATGAGCGATTTTAATGCTTTTATTGAGACAACTGGGCTAATTGACATTAGATTGGCAAATCGGTGGTTTACATGGTATAGATCAGAATCAGATGGTTCTTCTATGAGCAGGTTAGATAGAGTATTGATGACTGAAGAGATGTTTACTATGGTAGGTGAATAGGTGCACTAAGGGCTGAGAAGAACTATATCGGATCATTGTGCCATACTTATGAAGACAAAAATCACAGACTGGGGGCCAAAACCATTCAGGGTTTTGGATGCTTGGCAGCAGCATCCTGATCTCAAGAAAACAGTAGAAGATAAGTGGAATGAATTAGAGGTGGATGGGTTTGTAGGGTATAGATGTAAGCAGAAACTAAAACTGTTGAAAGTGTTTGTAAAAGGCTGGAATCAAGAAGTGTTTGGGGATATGGAAGTTCTTTGGGTGCAAGTGTTGCACTGGTGGGGTATTGAGGTTGTGTTATCAAATACAATAGAAGGAGTTGCAGAGTTCTTTCTACATGGTTTGGGTAAGATTATAGGGAAGGAAATGGGAGCATGTATTTTCCTTGCTGTTTCTTGGTATCTCTGGTACTGTAGGAATATGGGAGTTTTTAAGCATCTTGTGAGTTTTAGGGAAAGGGTGGTGGATATGGTGCAAGCCAAGACCTTTTTCTGGATTAAAACTAAGATGCAAAGGTGTGTTTTTTCCCTTGCTGAGTGGTAGAATAATCCAATACATGTTGCTATAGAAGTAAGAAGGCATAAAAGGCTATTGAAGGCATTCTATAAGCGTAAATTGTGGGTGGCATGAATTGGATTCTTGGTAGAAAGTTTTTGTTTGTTAGTTTTGCAATTTCTTTATAATGGTATTGACTGTTGGGCGTGTGGTCTGATCATGCCTTCTTCCTTTGTATATGGGTTGGAGTAGCCTTGTACTCCTTAAAATAATATGTAATATTTTCTTTGCTGATCAAAAAAAAAAAAA